AAAACACAGCACATCACCTTTAATGTGGTCACACTGTTCCCTAGAAAGGGCTAAACTTTCATTGCTAATTTCTCAGAATTAAGTAGTTCAACAAAAGTGGCATAGTTCACAATCAAGCTCTAGAACTGCCAGCACCTGAATAATTATTTCACTGCCAAGAGGTCTAAGTATAACAAAGTAAAGGAGAAAAAAAGTCTTTTTTAAAGTGTGGTGACAGGCCACATTCCTGTTTTGTAGAATAAGAATATATCTATTAATTACTTATGTGTTCTGGAAGAATTACAGCCAACTTGAATTTACATAAAGAAATAGATCTGCATTTTGCTGGGAAATTTATTAGACAAAATTTTAAGGAATCTTTTTTGACTGAGATGTTTATATTCATCTATCTTAGTGTTAATTCTCCTCTTTATAAAAGTATGTTTTCTAAGTACTAAAATTGGGGAAATAAATCTGCCTCTGCTTTCTAATGTATAAAAGCCATAAACAATACTGGAAATTATCTCCTTCAGCTCGGACAAAGAATATTTCTACTTTGAAGTCTTCAGCAATGATAAATAGGGTAATTTGTGGACTTTATCACTAAATTCTATGGATAGGCTTTTATCAATAATTCTGAGCTCTCCATCCTGCTTCGTATTTTCTATAATCTTTCCTGCTTTTACCCAGATCCTTCAAGGTCAGGGAAAGAATAGTCTATTTATAATAGTTCCATGTACTTCTCACAAACTTTGCATTACCTACACAGATACTATGTTTTTTCACAATTGAGAAGAAATCCTCAGCCTCTTTATAAGATTTTCTTTCAATCTAAAATCAAAATTTCAATTAGGAGAACATATAACTTGACTATGACAAGTACTTTACATTTAAAAGATTATGTTTATATATATATATTTAAAAACCTTAATTCAGGATAGGCATTTCATTTTAAAAATACCTGGTCATATTTGAACATACAACATGACTATGACAAGTACTTTAATGATAAGTACTTTAATTTTTAAAGTTTTAATAATTTTATTAAAATTAAAATTAAATTTTATTAAAATTAAAAGTTTACAATTTTATTTATAAATAAAAACTTAATTCAGGATAGGCATTTCATTTTTAAAATACCTGGTCATATTTTTAAGAAAGGTTTTAGAGTTAAGGTACTACACACAAGCTAGATCATTGTCTTCTATAAACTGGTTAACTTTTAAGAGGAAAAAGGGTACTCAAACAGATATTTTGTACACCTGTGTTCATTGCAGCATTATTCACAACAGCCAAAAGGTAGAAGCCACCCACCCAAACATCCACCAATGGATGAAAGGATAAACAAAATGTGGTATATACATACAATGGAATATTCAGCCTTAAAAAGAAGGTAAATTGACACACACTACCACATGGATGAACCTTGAAGACATTATGCTAAGTGAAATAAGCTAGTCACAAAATGACTATCATATGATTCCACTGATATGAGGTACCTAGAGTAGTCAAATTCATAGCAACACAAAAAAGAGTGGTGGTTGCCAGGGCCTGGAGGAGGAAGAATGTGGAGTTCATGTTTAATGGGTACAGAGTTTGAGTTGGGGAAGACGAAAAACGTTCTGGAGATGGATGGTGGTGATGACTGTATGACAATGTGGTTGTGCTTAAGGCCACAGGACTATACATTTAAAAATGGTTAAAATGGTAAATTTTATGTTACATATATTTTCCCACAATAAAAAAAAGAAGAGATATAATTGAGTAACATTCTGAAAATCAAACAAGTCTATCTAATCACAGATGAACCGGTTATTCTAATTTTTAAAAAGATGCCTATGCCTAGAATGCCTTTAATTTCACTGTTTATGTTTTATTTTGTTTTGTTTTTTTTTGCTTTGCTTTCTCCCTCCTTTATGCCCCATCCCCTATGTTCATTTAATTCTATTTATTCATTTTGTGAGTTATGGGTTTTAAGGTGGGACGACCAGAGGCCAAGAATCACCAATTTTTATGTTCAAAAAAAAAAAAATTGTATTCTTAAAGTCAAGTCCATGTAGCTAAAGAATGCAATTTCCTGTCCTACAGTAGTATTTTTTTGTAATAAGCTTTATCCTTAATACAATATTAGTTCAAGTCAATTTTCTTCTGCCTGGTCTATACAACTCTGAGTTGTATACTTTCCATAATATTATCTATGGATTTTCTGGAATTTTAAATAATGTTGCAAAATTTCAGTCTTAACCCTCTACTAGAATTTTTGAAGGATTACTGATCTATGATTTATAAAATGTATAGTAACTTGTTTTCAAGTTCATTATTTTCATGACAAAGCTTCAAAACATAAATAATCAGAAAATTTTGTCTCAGGGGATGGATTTTGTAGACACATGTTCTGGGTTTGAATCCTAGTTCTATCACTTAATAGATGTGTGAGTGGGTAAATTATTTAAATTACCTAATTCTCAGTTTCCTCATTTTGAAAATGTAGATATTAGTACCTAAGAGTTATTACAAGGACTATGCATGTAAAGCTCCTCAACAATGTCTGATGTAGTAAATTCTTAATAAATGGTAGCCATTAACAAAAATAATCATAATAACATAATATGTAAAAATGATAAGCACACTACTGGACAGAAAAATATTATATTCCAACTTTTAAAAAATGACTCCTTATAAATTTTGATGCTGAAATGAATCCAGGAAAAAAGATTACTTGTATTTTGTAAGACTCGTTTTCTTTTGTTCATCTTTTCCAAATAGTATGATTGTTAATATCTTGTTAAAGAAAGGAAATTAAGCCAAACAAAAATGAGAAGTAAAACCATGTATGTGCATGTGTGTATACACACACAAACACATGTACACACACACACACGCCCCTCTGTAATGTGATATACACAATTTGAGGAAGCTGTATAGAAACATGAGAAAAAAGTTGAAAAGTAAACAGGAAGAGCTATAGATTGCAATGAGGGTAACAAGGTATACAAATGTAGGCAAATTTCCAAATTCAAGTATTTGAACAATTCATTCAGAATCACATTACTGTCAGAAAATTCTACTGTAATTCTTCTGGTCATTACCCTAGGATATAAATGGAGAAGTCCAGAAAAGTTGGATATTTTCACCCCTTGCCAACATAAGCAAAATTATTTTTTTCTTTAAACAAAACCCAATTGCTACCATAGTTACTACTACGAAAGATTTCTAAGGTATATAATGTTTGATAATGGGATTTCTGCTACAATTTCACTAGAAAGCACAAAGGGTTTCTATACTACCAACTCTTACTACCCAAGTATAAAGTAGTACTCTGTTTTGCAAACAGACTTGTGTTTCCAAAAATGTGTTCCTTGGAACACTCAGACTTTGGGGTGGGAGGATAAAAGAGTCCTGTAGTCAAATAAGCCTGGAAAATGCTACATTCTATTTCTCTCTCTTAGATATACATAACACTATTAACATAAAAGGTTCTGAGAAGTCCTACAGTGAGCAGAGCTGTTTTTAACCAGTGTTTCCCAAACTTATCTGGTCACAGAATTCTTTTCTTCAGGTAGCGCAAAGGAACCAGTGTTCCTCATAACAACTTATTTTGGGAAATGTACAATAAATTGCCATTGATTAGTATTAAATATATAATTTAATTTGTACCTATCCCAAAAAGGTAGCCATTGGCAGAATTTGCTGAAGTCCCAAAAATGAGCCCATTGTATTTTATGTCAGAAAAAAAAAATCTAACATGCCTAGACTAGTACTTATATTATCTTTAACAAGTTGAATTTATTTCCAGAATATGTGTTTCAACCCTTACAGCCTGTATGTTATTTAATCAAATCCAAACATCCAGTTTCTTATACCTGCGAAAAGCTAAAAAATGAATATGATCCTCCAAGCCATTGTTTTATTTTATTTTTTCTGGGCTTCACTGTAAGCTGAGAAAACCCTGCAGCTGTGAGCTACTGCATACCTTCAAATATGAGAATACTAAACTCAGTTACAGCATTTTATTAACTGGTGCTATGAGCCTGCATTTATGCAGTTCTACAGTAAAATAATTAATGTTCCACATTAATCCTGAAGTAAAATAGTGATTATTACTTCAGTCTCCTAACACCTCTATTAAGTATACAGAACAAAATACTGTAATGACTATTTTACCTATGGAGGTTGAGCAACATGCCCCAAGCGCCAATAGTCAGCAGGGAGCAATTTCTTGTTGGACAGACACTGTGCATGTTACAACTATAGAAACTGTATCAGATAATCACCCTAAAATGTGAACAAAAACAGGAAATTCCTTTACTAATAGCTTATTATCTAAGGAATTTTCTTCTTCTGAAATAATTTTGGGTCACAATTTGCTTGAAATATAAACTTGAATCAAAAAACTCACATTGTGTGCTAGATAGCTTTTTGTGAATTCAGAAATTAAGAACGAAGTTTTAAACAATTGTAATGAGGAATTGCTTTGTCCTTGCGTTAGATAAAAGAAAATAAGCAAGCTACAATTAATTCTGGGTGAAGTGTGAATGTGAATGATTATACTGCTAGGCTATAGCATCACTTTCTTCCTAGGCTCTCCTTTCAATTTCAAAAGTACTTAAAAGTGTAACAAAATGTGTAAGATGAAAGAGACAACAACTATTTTCAAAAAACACAACAGGGAAGAAATAATGACTGTTGCTATAGAAATCACATATTTTGGCAACCCATGGACATTTGGTCATTGGTTTTCAAGTTATACAAAATAAGCTGGCCACTGGAAGAAAAAAACACTTCAAAACATCGATGGCAGAAATACATTAATCTCAGTATTTTATATTATGATAATATATATGAATAATATTTTACCAGAGAGAAGGTAAATGGTCAAAGACAAGGAAAAACCTGACATGAAGGAAAACAAGAACGTTGACAATTCAGTAAAAGAAAAGGAGTTAAAGTATCAGATTCAAGTTTCGTAAGTTTTTTTTTTTTTAAATGTAAAAGCAGAGGTAACAAAAATTGGTCTTCACCTGGTAAGTGTGTACTCCCTGAGTCCTGAATGCAAATTCATGGCAGAAAAAGTACCTATGCATCCACGTAATCTTTTGTCTCGACCAATCTTCCATGTTACAAACAGTGGGCTGTAATGGAAGATAAAAATAGGGTAAATCAATCAATTCAATTCAAACAAGTATTTATTGAGTATTGACTGTCTGCTAGGTTAGGTGCCTGAGACATAAAGACCAAAAGACAGGCCTTCAAGGGACTCAGAGGCCAGCCCAATAGGACTACATTTAGCAAAAGTTATATTATACTACTACTACATTATATTTAGTGTATCCTATATGTTAGGCATCTCAATAAATGTTTTAAACAAATTATGTTAATCTTCATCAACAACTCTAGGAGGCTAATACTAACATTCCTATATGAGGGAGTCTCACAGTTGATACATAATGAAGTAGGCACTCAAACCTGGGCAATCTTAACTATAGAGCCTTAACCATTATGGCTAACTGCATAATTACTCATTTAAACCTCAAATAACTGACTTATATGTAAGTCTAATTTGGAAAATCCGGGATAAAAAACAATGATTTTCATAAATACTTCCTGAAAATATAGGGGATATGTGCTGTGAAAGGTGCTACAAGGATGCCTAAAACACAGTCATTGCTCTCTAGGAGCCAGTATAAGAGGGAGGCATAACTATTACACAGCTAACTAATACAAGGAAAAAGGAAATAGATACTATAAACCATGTCCAAATGCCATAATTTAAACTATTGGGATAGAAGAAAACTTCATCAAGCTTGACATTCTTTAGCTTCACCTAGAAAAATCAGTAGGGTTCAGAGAGGTGAAGGGCAACAGCAGACATTAACAAAATAATACTCTGAAACCAGAAAATTTATTTTAATTTTTAGATAAAATTATTACCTGCAAATACAATCTCTCAAGCATCAAAGAACAAAGTATCAATTATAACAAAATATCATCAAGAATAATGTGGTTTTAGATGAAGTTTAATACAGTAGATGTTTGGATTCTGCTGCAAACTACTGACAGCCTCAATTAATGGTTAAGTCTAAAAACAATTACGTTCTAATTAGAGCAACTTTGTATGCCAGTTTTTATGAAATAATTTACCCATTTTAGGACATTTTGTAAAAAGATAAATACCTTACAATTGAGGATGATCTTTGGTAATATGAGTATTCACAGTAATACTGGAATAATGCATTTCTGCTTTCTAAAAACTTAAATTTTAAGGGGATATACCATATGTCATTTTTCCTCTAACACACTGGTGAGCTGGAGAACATCCTTTCTTTAAAATACTCTTTAGTGAGTCATCAGCAGATGGATGAAAAGATATCTCATTCAAGTACTTCAATCACCCACCTTAAGCATTTAAATTATGCTGAGCTCTGACAGCCACAATGGCAGATAGGTTCTCAAATAAGTAATATATACAAACCAGGGAGAAGTACTTACTACTAAGAAGTACTAAGAGTTACCATCTTCCAAGAGCCAAATGTCCAGTGGCATTCAAAAAGATGACTAAAGCATAAGGTCAAGTTACTGTCAACATTAGCATTCAAGTGAAGGACGACCTACACTAAAGGTATTAAAATAACAAACAAAAGGTAAAAGCCAGGTTTTTTGCTTTCTATATCATATGTAATAAACCTGTTATAACTTGAGACAAGATTCTAATGCTCCATTTGGAAATTTTTCTCCAATTGTTCTTGACTAACCACTGATCAGGAAGACAAGAATTAGATGGGATTACTTTCTCACCAATTCTTTCATTACTCACATAAATACCAGTATCTTAAAATTTAAACCTTATCTTTAAGGATGAAATTCACCTCTTCATTTTTCAGTTTCTAACTTGGCATAGTCAACATCAGCAACCATTTTTTTGTTTTGTTTTGTTTTGTTTTGAGATGGAGTCTTGCTCTGCTGCCAGGCTGAGTGCAGTGGTGTGATCTCGGCTCACTACAACCTCCACCTCCCGAGGTCAAGCAATTCTCCTGCCTCAGCCTCCTAAGTAGCTGGGATTACAGGTGTGCACCACCATGCCTGGCTAATTTTTGTATTTTTAGTAGAGACGGGGTTTCACCATGTTGGTCAGGCTGGTCTCAAACTTCTGACCTCGTGATCTACCTGGCTGAGCCTCCCAAAGTGCTGGGATTACAGGCATGAGCCACCACGCCCAGCCTGTCTCTCTCTCTCTTTTTTTTTTTTTTTTTTTAATACTTTAAGTTCTGGGGTACATGTGCAGAACGTGCAGGTTTGTTACATAGGTATACATGTGCCATGGTGGTTTGCTGCACCCATCAATCCGTCACCTACATTAGGTATTTCTCCTAATGCTATCCTTCCCCTAGCCCCCCACTCCCTGACAGGCCTCCGTGTATGATGTTCCCCTCCCTGTGTCCATGTGTTCTCATTGTTCAACTCTCACTTATGAGTGAGAACATGTGGTGTTTGATTTTCTGTTCTTGTGTTAGTTTGCTGAGAATGATGGTTTCCAGCTTCATCATGTCCCTGCAAAGGACATGAACTCATCCTTTTTATGGCTGCATAGTATTCCATGGTGTATATGTGCCATATTTTCTTTATCCAGTCTATCACTGATGGACATTTGGGTTGGTTTGAAGTCTTTGCTATTGGGAATAGTGTTGCAATAAACATATGTGTGCATGTGTCTTTATAGTAGAATGATTTATAATCTTTTTGGCATATACCCAGTAATGGGATGGCTGGGTCAAATGGTACTTCTAGTTCTATACCCGTAAGGAATCGCCACACTGTCTTCCACAATGGTTGAACTAATTTACACTCCCAACAGTGTAAAAGCGTTCCTGTTTCTCCACATCCTCTCCAGGATCTGTTGTTTGCTGACTTTTTAATGATTGTCATCCTGTCTCTTCTTTGAAAACAAAACAAAACAAAATAAAACAAACTTTATTTTTTGATCACAGAAGTAGCATATGATCATAAATTAAGAAATTAGAAATACAGAAATGTATCAATCCTCTTCTATAACAATGGTTATACAAAGTATCTCTATATAAGACAGGTCTTTTGGCAGCTTCAGAATGAAGTGAATCACAATGTAATATAGATAATAGCATGTTTTTAAAATACCATTATGGTTTCTGAATAAGTCAGAACTAAGTTGTATATTCTCTTCCTCAATGAATTCCATAAGAAACCTAAAAGTGTGAGTGAATTCATTTCCTATCAAAAACGCTAGAAATTAAAGTCATTTAAAAGTCTTTTACCTTCTACTTTCTCATTTATATACACACACCATTCTTACTATAACATAACCCTATCTGCTCAAGTAAACATTTAAAACTTAAAGTATAAATAGAAAAATAACACAAACTAAACACTATACTATGAAATATGTTGCAGGGCACTCAAACATATGGTGGGAGAAATTATATATTAATAGTTTCTTATAATGCCATGCTATCACTGATGACGGAATGATTAATTCAGAGCTTAGGTTGCTGGAGGACAAGCTGCATTTTACAAGGCAGCCTGAGGAGCAAAGATGCTCCAAAACAAGCATGGGTATGGACATGTAAAAGTGCACAGCACATTCAGGAAACAGGAAGTAGTCTGATAGTCTTGATAACTTTTGCTATGGGCTCGTTCAGATTTAACATTTCTTTGAATTTGAAACACTGTGGACTATGTGTTCTCAAGACCCCTCATAAGATGTGAGCAGATACAGAATCATCTACACTCTCCCTGATCCTTACCTGCCCCTGGCAACATCCACTTTGGGAGTTGGGATTTCGGGGAAGTATGTGTGTCAAAGATGGAGGGAGTGCTACTGTGTTTAGGACAGATGCCTGAAGATGGAAGTAGTCAGACTTTTAGCAGACAGAATAAAACTATTCATTAAAAATCTGGGACTCTAATTCCTCATTACAAATCCTCATCCAACATCGTTTATAAAGTACACGTGTATGGAATTAAAACAACTAAAATACCTAAAAGCAACATTTAATCAGGGAAAGAACCTGGGAATTTAAGCATTTTAAAGTAGACAGACACATAATAAACATCACTGAGCACAAGAGATTGTATCTTGTGTGTGATAACCACGTTGTACAGGGCAATGACTACGAGAACATTCAATACATATTATCTAAAAATAGGAACAAATTTTTTTCTTCACGCAACACAGAGGGAAGGAATAGGCAATTTCATTTTTAAATGTGCTATTAAAACATGTATGAGTTCCAAAAAGGACCTAATACATCAGCATAATCAGAGGTAGATCAAAATAGAAAAAGGGTTTTGAGTCTGTTGAGAGGAGTTGCTCAGTGAGAAAAAAATACAGAAAACCAGTTCATAGTAAGACAAAGATTGGATGTTTTGGGAAAATGCTTTTGCCATATGGTTTGAGGCCACCTACATACATTGAAAAAATACTACAAACTAGAAGAGAGTTCAAAATGAGATGAAATATTAATGGAAATGTTTATCTGAAGGTAACCAGACAAAGCTTTTAAAGTAATTTTCCTATTTCTGAGAAACCTTTGCAGAAAAGTAAACACTCCATTTTTTCATGTCTGTAGACAGGAACAGGAAGTAATCATTTAATCTAGATGAATCCTCCCTGCCAACTAGCAGCCAATACTGTCAGGTCAACAGTAGCTCTAGGGAAATGTAGTTGCATACAATCAGCAAAAGTACGAAAAGCAATGTAAATCTGAACAGGACACTCCCCATCTATTGATGTGAGCCAGAACAAATTAGAAATATGTTTGCAGGAGCAGAATACAATTAAGTGATACAACGAAAAAGGTGTATTTACTTAATACTATTTTACCTTAAACCCTATCTCTCCTGCCATATCAAGGCAAAATAGAGGTTACAAAAAAGTCTTAGACTCTGGCAATTTGCTCTTCTTTAGAATAAGATTATTTAGAATAAGATTTGTAGGAGTCAGCATTAACAAAAAACATCAATCTCTACCAATGCAATAATAATTAATAAAACAGGGTACTCAACAAGGTTATTTATATTGGAGGGGGGGATATAGGAAAAAAGAGAAGCCCTGTAACTTATTCTGTTCTTCTGCCATCAAATAATGATTGTTTCTCAA